AGGGGTCCCACCCGCCCCCTTCCCAGGCCCCACCCCCCCCCCCCCCCCCCCTCCGGCATCAGAGATACAATAAGACAAAGATCTAATATCTTAGTTTTTATTTGGACATCTTAAGCTTTAGTAAAATCGATGAAAGCAAAAGAAGGAGGTTTTCCACAAGGGAAGTCTTCCGTCTGTCCAATAACTACCATTTCACCCGTCACAGCTTCACAGATAATAGGCGATCCTCCATCACCCTAGAATTAAAAAAACAAAAAATATACATTACAATCTAGGTAGATATGCCAAAGGATATCGGGGACTTAAGTAGGTGGTAGGGATCCCAACTAGCCGTGGTGGTTACTGTATACATATTTACAATGTTCCGATTCGGTTCGGTAGTTTACAATCCAATAAAATGAAGCTGTCAGTGTCTTGGCATTATTGTTACCTACTGAACAAGAGCAGTAAGTAGGTGCATAATTTGGTTGATAAATATACAGGACACGAGAGCTGTGATGTGTATAAAACAGTGTCGTTTCTTCATATTTCTTATCTTATTACTTAGGGAAAGAATTCAAAATTCAGCCTACTCGGCTCCTAATGATCTATAGAAACAATGGGAGAAGCTTAACTTACAGTACAAGGAGATCCAGTAGTTGCTGTAGCACAGCTAGTAACTGTACCAGGTGGTAGAGATGTCGGAGCGTCACAAGAACTATCATCAATACTATCAATGGTGTACCCTTGTAAACCATCATACTGCCCCTTACTTCCACCAGTTACTAGAACACATCAAATATCAGTCAATGGACAATATGCATCAGTTTGGTAAATTATTATTGCGAGCACTCTACGTCTGTAGTTCAAAGGGGTAAGAGAAGTATGTGCCACTGCCAAGAAACCAAATAAATTGGAGTAAAGCTTTGAGGCCTATGTGTAGTGTAGCTTACCAATTTTCTAACCCTATTAGAATTCTCATTCGAGGTATTATCCTTGCAAAAAACAATTAAAAGAATATGACTGTAGTACACAACACGCCAGTATACGCTTGTGCAGTTCCAAAGAAAAATAAGAGCAAGACTAAGAACCCATACCTTCAGCAACAGTACCATAACCAGCAGATGTACATTTGGTAAAGTCTATATAACCTTCCATGGTGGCAGCATCATAAATACATGGAAGTCCAGGACATTTGGTTACATCTAGCGGTGTCTTCAGAGTCACTTCGGACGTACCAGCAACTGATCCTGAAGATATAAAATGGAGTTTTACACCCTACTTGTCTGAACTGTATCGGATAGATCATGGTAAAGGTGTGGTATGTTATATCATTAACGTCACCATTGACAGACAATGCTTACTCTTTTCGAAACACCTGATGGTACTTCTCTTTAGAGGAGTCCACTACTATACTACTGTTACTCTCGATTTTGCCATACTTTGAACGAGATTTTGATTGAATTGTTTTGCTTGTACGGATTTTAATAGTACAATTTTCTCCAAGTTCCCTGAAGGAGCAGCTGGATGAAAAAAAAATATGTAATAATCATTTACACTTACCATCAGCCACAGAATCGGCTAAAGATACTTGTTCAGCTCCAGCATCTCCGACAGTAAACTCCATCTTCGGCAAGATGTGGCTAAAAATAGAATTTAACAGAATAGAGCCCCCATAATAATCCTTGTGAATGTCAGAAACATCTGCTTCTATTCCAGCTTCATATAGCTCCGACAACTGTCAAAAATATTTAGTGGATGATTTGAAAATGAAGAAACGTACCCCATTTTGACTATATCACCACAAGAAGTTGGTATCTGTACAGTACTGGCATCAATCATCAATCCGGTACATAAGACCACATCAAAATCAGGATGGTACAGCTTTACTACTCCTGGTGCATCACAACTGGCAGTTGGTGATCCATCCACAACTCGCTTGTATCTGGTCTTCACACTGGGGTCTGGGCAAACTGTAGATCGGGGGATAAGGATAGGGAATATTCAGATGAAAAGGCACGGCCAAAATATAGAAGGATGGAGAGCGATATACATAATTATAGATACTTAGCTACCATAGCATTTCTTTATGACTTACTGCATTTTACATTACAAGATTGCCAATCCGTTCCTTAAAAACTTTCATAAACACATAACCGGAAGTACCCTCATTTCATAGCTTTAGTAGGCCTAACGTCTTTCAAAATGCAAACAGAGTATGACGACCATCAGATAGACCTTCCATGTCAAATTGAATGTGAAGCATATCGCGCTATCTGACATTCAGCAAAAAGAGGGGGCGGGGCGGAGGATCTGTCACTCACGTTGAGATGGTATGGTAGTCGTCGGTTCAGTAGTGGTAGTAGTCAAAGCTTCGGTTGTAGTCAACTCGGTTGTGGTTGTTGGCATGGTAGTCGTTGTAACCATGGTGGTAGTGGTTTCTGGGACGGTGGTGGTTTCCATTTCTGTTGTCGTAGGCATTTCGGTGGTAGTTTCCATCGGAGTTGTGGTTGTTTCCATTGGGGTCGTGGTTGTTTCCATTGGGGTCGTGGTTGTTTCCATTGCGGATGTAGTGGTTTCCATCTCAGTCGTGGTTGTCTCCATGGCAGTCGTGGTTTCCATGGCAGTCGTAGTTTCCATGGCAGTCGTGGTGGTTTCCATTGCTGTTGTGGTTGGGGCAACTGATGTAGTTTCGCAGGTTCCACAGAATGAACAGAGAGCTGAAAGGAGCATTTCAACAATTCTAATAAAGATGATTTATGCGCAATAAAGACCGGAAGTAAGTCCAGAAAAATCCCTTGACTTCTGCCCCATTCCCTTTATGTCTAAGCCTTCGTGGGATTTATCATTTGTCCCTTCATTGTTTTTGATCATTGGAATGACAAAGGTAGCACGGTACCTTATGGATATCGTGGTAGCATACTTATCTTAATAGTAATATTAAACTTACCCGGATCGCAACGTTAACTTACCCGGATCGTAGCTTACAACATAGCCGATTTCTAACATAGTCTTACCCAGATCGTAGTTTTCAACTTACCTGGATTGTTGCATTCGACTTACCCGGTCGTAACATACAACTTAACCGGATCGTATAACACAACTTACCGGATCGTTACATTTAACTTACTTTGATCGTAACATACCACATAACCGGATCGTAAGATTAAACTAACCCGTATCTTAACATTCAACTTACCGGATCGCCACATTCAACTTACCCGGATCGTAGCAGTATTCGGGTAGAGCTGTGGGTGGTGGTGGTGTGGGTGGCTCGGCGGTTGTGGGTGGTCCACTGGGGGGTTGTAAGCAGAACATAGCTAATACTGAAATTAAGATCAAACGTTTAACAAAATGACTCTCGAAGCTGTTAACATCCTTATCGAAAGATAGTGTTGAGGGAAATTGGGTTATTAAAAACTCTCTTCACTTGAAAGTTTCTATGCATATCTTGTTTGTAGTCTATTTTAGCCTCAGAGAGGTATTTTGACATTTATCGGCTGGATAAGACCAGTAGCCAACTTTCAAATTAACTATCAGAGGCTGGTATAGATGTTTCGGTCTAATCTTGCTTATAGAAAAAAGGTTAAGAAGTACATTCAGATATAAAAGTATGAGCCCAGTGGTGTATTGGAATAGGGATTTCAGTTATAGATCTCAAATCATAGACTCAGTGGTAGCTGCATAACTCTGGATTGGGAGGGGCTGCCGCCTAATTGTTTTTGAATTCCTGAGTGATGGGAGGTGGGCTATATTACAATGATAACATGTATATGCTATAACAAAAAATTGTGGTCTTTTAGGGAGAGACATAGCCCCCTGTCCCTCTTCCTCTTTGGAGCCGTCACTAAATGGGCTTAAATTGTACATGAAAAAGTATGAATACTTCTAAGAAGAGATACGGGGTCATCTGTGCTTGCTTAATATAACTTACATGAATCTGATGAGCAGTAGGCGGAGTCGGCTCCTGCCCCCGTATCACCAGCTTTAGGGGGTGGTGGTGTGGGTTCGGGCTCAGGTGGTGGAGAACAAAAGGCAGAGAAAACTACAAAATATTAATCATAGTAATTTGTATTCAGCTTTAAATGGAAAACGGAACGGAATATGCCTTATTTTAGTCAGGTTTAACGTACGATATGGAATAAATCAACTTCTGTAAAGCCAGACTTAAAGTCAAATCTGTAAGGTCATTCAAATGACCGCATAATATAAGGAGTTAGCTGGGGCTCGTGGAGGAAGTTTCTTTTTTATCAGATTACATACGCATAAAGTATTGGGAACAGCAACACGCTGAAGGAAGCATATAAAGACAGAGAAACACTTACCATTTCGTTTACAATAGCTCGATCTTTTAAACAGGTTTCCTAAAAAAGACATTGTGCCATTTAAACTTAGAGGGTGGCTGATGTTCTCTTAATTATTTTTTGTTTTAAATTACAATTTTTTCCGGAATATCAGGAACTGTAGGGCAGTAAAAAGGAGCTTTGAGTGTTCCCGATACACAAACAAAGAAATGCCAGGAATTATCCATTTTTGTGTCATTTCATGGCTCTAAAAGTTACCGTTAAATTGCCTTAATTTTCTCTACTGAATATTGATTATTGATCAAAGGAAGGCCTACCTACGTCCTTGCCCCATTTAATAAATTATGCAAAGAGCATCGATACTTTTCTAAATGACATTCCATGACTAAAATTATTAAAGGAATATAAATAAGACTTGAGAGTGCCATTTGGTAGCCGAGGACTAGCCAGGGCTCTGCAACAGATTACATCTTTACGGAAACTACCAAATTTTCCGAGGGTAAAGTTGATCATGTTCAGAAAACATTCAGTTATCATCTAGGCTTGAAGAGTCTTCTTGGCAAGCCATATCTTAAAAATTTTCAAACTTACTAAGAAAGTTGGTCTGTCCTAGCGATAGAGCTGCTATAAAAACAGCTATTAGCAGTACAGACGTTGTCCTCATCGTGATGTTGTTCTTCCAATGACAACTGATGTCCCTTCTGCTGGCCCTCGATTGTCTCTATTACTTCTGTTTGTTTTAATATTAATTATTTTTAAAGCAATGGTATATCAGATGTTTGGTTTACAAACCCTATTGATGTGGGTGTCTCGCTAGAAGTGTTCTCTTATGAAGTAACGTGGCATTCCTTGTGGATATTCCACATGGCTATTACTACCTAATAAAATCCAATTTCATATCAGCTACTACAAGTAGTGTCCGTAGTACTTATCGAAATTGTCATCAATATTCTCAAGGGCCGTTATGAATGATGACATCACAGCTAGACGGGGAGCTAGAAGAACTGTCACTTGCCACTACTACTAACCCCATAAACGTCTCCCTAGGCCATTCTTGAAACGTTTTGGTGTTGGGAGTAAGAGTGTCCCCCTTTGCTAGTGCTGTACATTGTGGCTTTAATACAAAGTTCGTTCTACTAAGAAAGTAAACAAGCCGACATTCTAGCTCTGGTAATTAGCGACGTTTACTCTCCTTGTCTGTAATACAGATGTCACTTTTCTTAAGACTATCCCAGATTTTCACTTTTTATTTGAGTCATATTGATCTGGGATTATTTTAATTATGCAGATATTTATTAATACGATGACAATGTATATCAAAGCACGTTCATGTATCGGTGGGTGAAAGTTGATTAAATCTAGCAAGTGACTCAGATTCTACCCCCCCCCCCCCCCCC